ATAGCCTACGGCAGGAAGTGACTAAGGCCCAGCTTGTGAAACTAGAGAGCGTCCAAACAGCAGCGCTTATGAGCTCGAGGGCTTGTGACACTTTTCTTGCTTACACTTTTCTGAAAAGCTGGATCATGTGGATATGAGCAGACAGTTCTGTGATCTGCATGGGTGCGCCCCTGTTCTTGGGAACAGCATTTTTGGCGCATGCATGGGAGCTTGCAAATTGAGTTGGAAGGGATGCCCCGACCCTGTTTCTATGGGCTCACGGGGTTCACAAGCAGTCTAGCAGTTTCATCTTCCACTTCCAAACGCCCATTTACTTCACGTGAAATGCGCCTTCGAAACTCAGATGCGCTGGGCACTGGTCCTGTTCGAGCTTCTGTCATGATCAAAAGCAACATCAGACTTCTGCGACGAAGGCATTTAAGGATCCGGAACATGCTCTTGAAATGACTCTTTAGTCTGGAGAGTCGTAATTTCACTTTCCCGATTCCTTCTTACGGATAGCCTACCGAGGACTTTCAAGCTGGCACTCGCTACGACCCAGATCTGGGGTATGTGCGTGTACGACTACTTCTGTAGCCGCAGATCTGATCTTGCGTGGTTGCGTGACTATCAGCAGCTGCCAGTAGTTTCTCGTGGCAGCTGTCAGGTTCTTATTGGAGCTGTGATAGACGAAGTGACATGTAGACATTCTGGAGCTCTGATACATTCATGTAGACTGTGCTTGGTGGAGCCCAAGTCGCGGATCCGCCTCCGGAAGAAATGCCCATAGCGCCAAGTGTTGTTTAGCCCAAGACCTCCAAAAATACTACTTCCTCGCACCTGGTGCCAGAATGGTGGTGTTGTCGGAATTTTCTCAAGCCAAACTAAAACAACATGCTAGAACGTGCTACTCTCTTGCCCACTGTTGACTGGTGCCATCATGTCTGCAGCCAGGACCTGCGAGGGAGGAGTGTTGAGGAAACTTTCCCAACCCAAAGCCTTCAAAATACTATTCCGACTATTCCCTGACGCCCGGGTCGCCTGGTGCCATCATGTCCACAGAGCGAGGGAATTGCGAGGGAGGTGGATTTCGGGATTTTTTTGGACCCCGGACCCCCTTATCTTTACCAGTACTCCTCATGTTGCAGATCGGCTAAGCAAGGTCTAGAAATATCTGCGGGATGCGCTCCTCCGTCGTGCACAATCTGCTTTGAGCTGTGGGTGCGAAGTTCTGTTCCCTCACAGCCATGAGTGCCACACAAGTTTCTCGCAAGTAGCCCGCGGCAGAGTAGCCCAGTGCCTTTCGTTTGGCATGAGCTGAAGTCCTGTATTATCAAATTTTAGTGTCCAGTTCGGCAATACGTTTGCAAACATGTCAGGGGCTGAAGGATGCCTGAATACCCAAGAAGGAAAAGCTTACGGCTAACACTGATGTATGTCGCACAAAATGGCAGGCCGTGTAAAGGGGCTGAAGGACAAACGAAAGTTCCAATATGGCATGTCGGAATTTGGTGTGATGCTAGCCTGGAAGGACAACACACAAAAAGCGCAATTGTAGGCTAGAGTCAGCAGATATGTTTCCAAATTTTACATAAGTTCCAAGGTCGTGCAGAGAAAGACTTGACCATTGCAGGACAGCATATCAAACAGCTTGCGAACCGAAGCCAACGGCAACCCTGAACAACAGAAGGTATAGCTGCTTGGACGAGGTATGTACTGGATTCCAGGCAAGATCTCCTCTGAAACCTAAGATTGCTTTTGGCTGGTTACCTCCTGAAATACAAATCAGTGCTCCGTTTGAACCCCGTGCACCATGCTGTGTAAAGACCTGCGGCTTTTCGGCAATGCCCGAGCCCGAAATTACCGCAGTTAAGAGTCGGAAGCTTGGAGCCTTGCAAAAAATTGAAGGAGATTTTCCAATTCAGTGGATGCACAAACTTTGAGAATCGGGTTATTGATGGTGTGCGGGGGCTGCTACTTGAGTCAGGTGGGAGGCCACCAGTATCTCGATACTCATCAAGCACTACAAACGAGTTGCATCCTGTTAGAGCGATCCTTGCGTTAAAAGCGGCCGTATCCACTGATTCCTGGTTTCTTCAGGCATTTGTTGGAGAGGGCAGCCCGACTTGCGTCAGAGGCGCTCCTTGTGGCCCCGTCATTTGGTGATGCGAAACCGCCATGAGTTCTCGGCAGGTAGAGAGGGCTGAGGCTCGGATAGCGCAGCAGTCCGAGCTCGAGGACTGCCACGAGCAAAAGACGCCTTTTCTATACATTTCCTTCCCGACCTCACCAGTGGCAGGAGCAGTGCACCCAACTTGATGCGGCGCAGCAAACATTGAGAGCGGGCCTCAGGCTTTAACTGCGAGTGCGAGGTTGGCTGGTGGTTGCTGTTCCAAGTTGACACAAGGTGCCGAAGTTGAGAGACTTCGTCGAACCAATGATGCTTTATGTCAACAGGTTGCGCACTTGGATTTTGTACAATCTGGCTCCGCATGTCGTGTCACATACTCTGATAGGTTTTGGGCGCTGATGGCGAGGCGAGAGTTGTTCGCCTTTCCAAAGTTTTGTGGCATTTCGGTGCGTGCCAGGGACCCTTCGCAGGCGCACTGCAGCAGGCCACGCCTGGAGCGCGAAAGAGCCTTCTTTTAGATGGCTGGGCTGACTCCAGGTTTCCTTATTGGATGGAGAAGAAGACCAGGCTATACGTGACGAAATTGGTCGACTGGCAAGGCCCATAGATCAAGGCAGCTTCTTGCAGAGTGTTTGTGCTCTTGCTTGCGGGTAATCTCCTAAATCCAGGAGGCCCTCCGCCCTCCGCAAGGTTCCCTAAGGCCCTAAGGCTTACCTGAAAGAAGTCCCTTCTCTCCTGAGGTCCGAGGGCAGCTTTTGCTGACAAGCCAGGCCGGCAGCGTGAAGGCCCAAAGCCTGCAAGTGCTGCCGAGGACATAGTGCAGCAAAGCTCTGAGCTTGGACAGGGCGATGCGGCTGCTCTCGCCTTGAGACTACAGCAGCTTCTGGCTGAGCGCGAGGAGGCGCACAAATCATCAGAGCTTCCCGACAATCTGGGCTCATGTGCGTGTCAAAGATGAGGCAGTTGTGGAGTGACAGGGGGACATGAAATGAGACGGCACACCGCCAAGAGGATACCGCAAAGTGGAGAAGCAAGTAGGGAATGTCCAGACATAGAGCTTCTGATCCAGTTCTTCCTACTTCACGGAGAAGAGATGATCAAGGACTCTAGATTCGAGATGGATAGCTCTGTTTGCTGTAGTTGGTGCCGCAGCAATATGAGGAATGAATCACATAATCAACTAGAATTCAAAACCAAATAGAAATCGATCAATTAAACATCTGAAGTTCGAGCTCTTGCTCGGAATCCAGTTCTCGTGCGGGCTACCTGACCCGTTCGCTTCTCCTGTGGCCCGTCGGTGCTAAGAGAAAAAGGACAACAACAAGGTTAAAAGGAAAGACAGAAATAAAGGACAGTCAACAACACAACAAATGCACAAGAAAACGAACCGATTCAGTGCAGGCAGCCATGCTTTTTTTTTTTTGGGGAGGGGGGGGGGTCGAAACCAACTTTCACACATGCCCAAACTGTACTAATGTCCATGCACGACTGCATTAGGTGACCACAGTGTCAATGCCCGAACACTGCCCGAATCGTAATAACGTGAAAGCCATGACGCATTCCGTACAGGTTACAACAACGACATGGGAGTTTTCTCAGTCCAAGGTTTGGCAGACACTGCCTGTGGGGAACGCGTGAAGGGATTTGCGCCTCTTCATTGCCAAAACGTCGTGCCTTTCACAAACTGCTAAAAAAGGGCGCCAAACCTACAAATATGGGCCACCACCAACGCGAGTAGACAAGTGCTCTTTGGTTCACAAACCACGAGCTTTCCCAACAAGCACGAAGCGCTGCACGCGCTAATCAAAGCAAACATATCTCTGAGACTGGACTTTGCAGCGAGGAAGACGTGCACGGATTCAGGCCGTTCTGCGCACCTCCGACTTAACCTCTTCTGGTAATCACACGCTTTCGCAGAACAAGACCCAGCAATTGAGATGCGTGGCCAAACTTTTTGGCTGCGAACTTGCATTTAATCATCTATCGCGCATCAGCTTCGATTGGCTGGTGATTTTGCAATACATAAAACGCTGCCCGCACCGACAAATTCAGCTTATCCGTTCCATTTAGTAAGTAACGGCAAATGCACAGGGCGGGGGCTATTATTGTTTTTGCGTATTTGTGCTAATAGTGAATGCCACTAAGTGTTTCTGAATGGTAAGTTTTACTGCCTTGGCTGAGCTTCTCGTGATAAGACTGGAGCTGAGTGTGACAATAGACGACCATAGTAACATGGTGTAATACCAATACATTGACATTGAAATAGAAAACGCGACTAGTATTGCAATCAGTAAGAAGAACATCAACAATAACAGCATGAAGAATCATAATAATCCTAGACATCCCACATATCTGAAACCATAGTCGAAAACAATGATAAGAGCAATACGTCCCATAGGCTGTTGCCAGAACACTCATTTTCACTGAAGTGTGAGATTCCGAAGAGCGCCGCATGCCGAGCTATAGCGCGGTCTATACACCCAACCTACTTTGGACACTTTTCAATGTGCACCGCTTCAAGGCATTCTGGGTTGAACGCCAGCGCCTCTCGGACCACATTGCCTCTTTGGAACGTGCTCAAAATGGCCGTCTTTTGCTCAGACGGCTATCGTCCTGATTACAGAAAGACCTTTGCATTACTGCATACTGTGTACCCGGCAAGGCACCAGCAATCTCATGCGGCAGTACGACGCAGCAGTGCGTGCGTCTGGTGGCGCAGGGTTGCGTGCTCAGGAAGCGAAGAAGCTCGTATGCTGCAGAGGCGCTGCAACCCAGTTGCTTCCCTCAGCTGATGACCTTCAAGCAAACTCACGCTGCACACCTTAGTGTCAGATGCTTTCAGCACACGAAAGTCATTTCTTATTAAGTACGTTTGTACAAGAAATTCCCGATGAGGGCAGCTGCCATGGTCATTTGCGCAATCACGAGAACAACAGGAAGGTTGGCACCCGCCGACTGGATGGGAGCGAATTTTGATTTCCTGAAGGAGAAGACGCTTTTGGAGATCACGCTTCCAGGATCACACAACAGTGGCAACTACTTCGGCGGCTTGTACGCCGACCGGCAGCTCGACAACAGCCAGAAGTCCTAAAATCCCGTCAAGCTCTGTGCCAATGGCAATACTGATGCGCACGCATGCATGCCAGGATTTGCCAGAGCGACTACCGCTACAATGAGTACTTGGCTTCTCCCAGCTCACTTGCCTTGCTGTCGAAAGGTGAGCACGTCTTCAGCCAAGCTGAATTCGATCGGAGACGCTCAAACTGCATGTGAAGAGCCATTTTGTGAGAGGATTTGCAGATGGCCGATCAGGTGAGCAAGCGTCAATAGGCTCAGCTGAGCGTTTGAAACTTCGGAAGGGCACGGGTTGGTGGGCTGTGTTCACTCATTGTAACATGTCTAAGCATGAGCCTGAGACGAACAAAAGCCAAATGCTTAAGCACAGCTGGCATCGCTCTTGCTTTGTGTGTTTCTTGCCAATTTCAAATGCGGTGGCCTAGGAATGATACCGTGGAACATCAACCACTTCCGGCCAATCAAAGCTCAGCTTCTGGAAGACGGCGTGCGGTATCTGCACCTGAAAGTCTGCAATTTCGGAGAGCCAGGTATCCATCTCTCCCGCCAATCTCTTCTGTCATCTGTATAGCGGGGCACTGATCATGTCAAGCATGGGCAGGGCAGTTTTGTGGCATGGCTCTTGTTCTCACACGCAAGCAATTTCAAAGGCGTAGTGGCAGCAAAGTGAGGAAACAGCAGCACGCGGTGTGTAGCATGGCAGAGGCCGCTTACCGGTCCATGGGAAGGCGTGTGTCAACCGCAAGCGGACCTCCGCAGAGTTAAACGTCCAACAGCGGGTTGGGGGTACGTGGAGGGATGCGCGTGTAATCCAGCCTCATTGGTGTCGTGCTTCAGGTGCACAAAAGCCCGAGATGACGATTGCGGAAGCAAAGCCCAGGATTTTTAAATCTTGCCCATCCAGCTACCGACTTACCAAAATACTTTAATTGACATTTGACATGACATTTGACCTGCAGACACTGCAGACGTTACCTAGAATCTCAGCCGTGGCAACTGCATGCTGGTGACAACAGATCATCCTCAAAAGCAGCAAGTTGCAGGATTGAGTGGCAAATTCAGATCAGAGCTGCAAGCTCTGTGCCTGCTGCAAACCCACATGATTCATGTGCTTGTCGTTCAAGTTCCAAATCGGAGGCAATCTGATGAACTTGGCTGACCTCCGTTTCCAGCATCGTGGATACACAACAATTGAGACAGTGGCCTGGCATTTCAAGTTCTGGACGGGATCTTGACAAAAGCACCGCCCCACTTGTAGATGCTTGAAGAGGTAGCCAGCAAGAGTTCGAAGCTACTGGAGTAGGCAGTGAGTCGGCCGAGGTATCGTCGACACTGCAAGACATTTTGCAGTTTCTCGACCATCACCCGAAGGAGATTGCTCCCTGACGGCACATTGTGATCTACGCCAAGAGTTGCAGATTTAAAAAAGCGAAAGTTTGTCAGAGTTGTCCGCCTTGGCAGGCACACAGTCCAATCTACTGATAGCCTGACAGCCTTATCAGGTTGTGTTGGCCTTCAACAATTTGCATAACAATGTCACCAACAAATTCAGCGAAGCTGACGTCGATGCCTTGTCTGCGGCGCTGGAGTTGGAGCTAGGCACGGCATCCTGGAGCCCAGCGATGCATGCAGACAAATTTGAAATGTATCGCCAGGTCAGAAGATTATTAGTGCGCCAGACCTATTCAGCAAAAGCTTGGAACAGCTGCTACGTTTAGGCAAGCGGGTTGCGGAGCCTTTTCTAAATTTACAATGCAATTTGTAGCGCCAACTCCCTGAAATTGAGTTGCTAATCTTGGGCAGTAGACCTTGAGATGAGGTATTTGTCAAGGGCAGCAGGCCGAATTTTCGTGGTGTGATCTCCAGTGAGATGCACCTCACAGAGAACTGGGGATCCGCGATGGACAGTGGAAATCTCACAGCCGCCAAGGACTGGCTAATTCAGGACCTTCAAACGGCTGCTTCAGCTGCCAAAGGTCGATATTACGTCATGCAGGCGAATCCCAACAATGCAGAGTCCTTGATGTACGAAGCGATGAACACGGGCCTTGGGCCACAATCAAACCTGAGATTTCTGGAGACATTTTTGCTGGAGCTTGGAAGCCTCGTCATCCGTACGACGCGAAATGAGCCTCAAATTCGGATCAATGTGATTGACACGGACTTTTTGTCCATAAGCCAGCCCTACCAAACGTGCATGCTACTCATGGGTCTCTCGTCAAGCCTTCCTGAGAACCCTGACACGCTCAGTACATGGCTGATCCGCTTGAGCATGGTCGTTTTTACTGCAGCACTTCTTATCTGGGCCTGCCGCACATACCACAAGCCAACTGGATACCAACGGCATAGCCCTCGAAATTAAGTATGTCCAAGATGCAAACGAAGTGCTGGCACTCGCACCCTGCTTTGGGCTGGCGTGAGATTTGGCAGAATGTGTGGGGTGTCTGACGCCAGACTCATGGCATTCAGCACGCGGCCCAAGAAAGATGACGGACCTGTCGGAAGAAGTTTGCAACATCACGCCTTGCCGTAGCAGGCTGCCCTTTGACTGTGGATGCTGCCAGCGCCAGAAAATCTGAGCCACCCCTATCCCTGTTTGGAATGGGTAATCTAGCGAAACCAGGCCCACAGCATCTGGCTTGACCGGGGCACCCGCTGCGGCAGCGGCTGCAGCGACTCGGATCGGATAAGCAAGCATAAGTATTACTTTATGGCAGAGAACCGACTCAGCACATTTGTAAGCATGCAGAGCTTGACCTGGCACATGATGAGGTCACCGGCGGCTTTCGGCGCCTGCGACAGACAATTGGCGCTTGATTGTACAAAGCATTCAGAGTCAGTGCAGATATGTTGGCTTTGTGCTACAATCAGCCAACAGCCGTCGAGACAGCATGAACGGAGCCATTGAATGATGCCAAGCGATTTAGGCTTGATTTTCCGAGCTTGCTCTGACTGCAGCAGGAAAATGAAAGTGTGCTCCGTCCACATCCAGGTAAAAGATGTGCATTGTGATATTGGCTTGTTCACAACTAGCTGCCTGATTTTAAGTCTCGCTTTGCATTTGGGCTCGTCGGCCTTCCTCAGCAACGCTAGGTTTCTAAGGCTGCCACTGTGGAGGCTTGTGACTGCACGGGACTCTGCTTTAGGATGCTGTGGCTGGCCCGACGCACAAATCTCAAATTGCGAGCAAGCTCATAGCAAGAGCAAGGAGCTGAAAAGCCCGCATCTGCATTCTGAAGCTCCGCTCCTGAACCCTGTCCAGGAAGCGTAGCGGCGTAGCAATGGCGGCTGTGCCAGCTCGCTCCCCTACCTTGTGCAGATATTTGAGTCGGAATTGTCATATCAGTACACAAGGCCACCGCCTTCATAGCCAGTGGTGCAGGGCACAGAATTGCTGGCCACTGAGATGATGAGTATGACCAGTGTTTGTCACAGCCCAAAGAGGAGAAACAACTTCAAAGGCTGATTCCAGGCGTTTGCAAGGTTCATCGCGAGCTGCTCAACTGCTCAGGCGTCTCCAGGTGTTGAGCTGGCGTCTCCCGGTGTCGGCGACTTGGTTGTCTTACCGCAGGCTTAGGGATGTTTCTCGCTTGCTCCAGGTGTCAGCAAGGACAGCGAAGGCTTCTGGCCACAGCCAGGCCTTGGGGTCATCAATGCTGCGCACTGCTGCGCACGTTCTTTCACAGCCTGTAATAGCACTGCAGGTGGCGACGGCTGCCGTGGCCGGATCTGCGCTAGCTGTCCTGACCGGCAGCGACCCTGGTCACAGCATGTTGGCCATTGCAACTCCATTCTCTAGTTGTGCAGGTGGCAGAACAAAGACTAGACGTGCGCGTCAGGCACGGCTCTCCTCTCATCCTCAGCAAAGTTGTTATGCCAGTTGGTGCCAGCGAAAGATACTAGTGCTCACTTTGCCAGGGTGTGCGAGTTGTTGCTTCAGCACGCAAGGCTGTTCCAGCAGGCTGGCCAGTGTGTGGAACGGTAATTATACGAACGAAGTTCTTAAGCCGGAAGAATGCCTCTGCGATCAGCTTAGGTCTCGAGGGCACTAAGGGCAAAGTTCTGCCACTATGCATGGCTTTAGCCTTTATTTGGGTACTTTAGTGTCTACACCTGCTGCCATTTCGGCAACCATAAAGGTTTTCCAGCGCTAGTTGCATTTGGCTGCTAGCACATTCAGTCCATTTTGAATCATCATTGTGCGACAACGCCAGGAGTCTACTGCGAGGCGCTGGAAAAATGCGAGAGACGCAAGACGCGAACTGCCAGGGCCCGATTGGACACCAGCCGGGCTAGACATGGCAATGTCCTGAACTCTAAGCAGAGTTATAGTTATTCGTTTTGTTTTTGACAGCTCCCTGATAGTGATGGAAGCTGCAATTCGTAGAGCTTCCTTCAAGACCACTTCAGATCATCAATTGTGCAAAGACTACTGACTACTACGCACCTGTTTAATGTACAAGGTGCCCCTGAACCATGCGTATGAGGTGATGTGACGGATCGCATCAGAGTGGCATCCAGTGCGTTTCAAGGTCTACGTGGGTGAAGTCCCTGTTGGCTCTGATCATCCAATCGCAACACAGACCATGCAGCAGCCTCGGCTTTCCCTTCTTTGGCACTGCCTGTGTTGCTCAGCTTGCGATCTCCCCAGGACCACAACGCTGACCAGTGACGTTGAGGCAACTGTGGCGCAGGCTGTGCGAAGTCCGTTTGCTCCACATAATAACAGGTTCATTCCATATACCAACATAGACTCCCACATGCTGCTTTGGAGACCCGAGCTTGGGCTGGAGGTCAGCAAGATCTAGAATTGTGACAAAGGGATCTTGCATCAAGGATTGGGGAACTCTTTTGGCTCTCACGGAGCTACTCCTGGTAACTCATCTTTGTAGCATAGATGGGACAGTCAGCCTAGAGCTGCCATCCAAAATGAAGCTTGCAGCAGCAAAGAGGTTCGGAATTAGAACTGCTGGGAGGGAAACCACCGCGGCTGTGATAGGCTGGCATCTGCTACTCGATAATAAAATTCCAGGCCACTTCAGTATTCTGGTGAGCAACGACTCCAGCTGCCTAAGCAGGGTGAAGGAGAAAAAGACGGAGGAAAGTAAGATGAAGCTGGTGCGCTCTAACAGGACCAACCTTACCGCGCGCCATTTCAGTCTTTGGGATCAACGGGTAAATGGCAGTGCAGATGGTCCGCTTGCAGCCCGTGATCCTGCACATGGGGCCAGGGCAGAGCTTCCTGCTGTTTTTCTGGAAGACCTTCTGAAAGAATCCCCGTGTTTCCGAAACCTCTCACGTCCATGCCGCACAAATGGCCACGTTGCAAGCATGAGTGCAGGTTCTGTTGAATCCAAAGCACGAAGGGGCTGGAAGTAATTGTGGATGTCCCGCCCGGCACTGGCTGGCTGGGCAAGCAAAGCGGAAGTTGCGAAGCTCAACGGCTGGCCGAGGGGGCATGTTGTGCCACTGGGTTTCGCTTGTCCTAGTCCGTCCCACTCTCTGCGAGGGAAGCTTGCTACTGGGTGGTCGGGTTATCTCACATCGGCTGGGCTTTTTACACGTCGAGCAGCGTCCACACGGGGGACCCAGTTCAAAAGCATTCACCAGAATAGATGTCATTCAAAAGGCAAATATCTTGGAATGGTACTGTTTCCACAGCTGATGCGGCATGTATACATGGCATCGCTGTATGTGTCGAGCAGCGTCCACACTGGGGGACCCAGTTGAAAAGCATTCAGTAGAACAGATGTCATGCTGTTTCCACAGCGCCCACAGGGTTTCAGCTCGTGATGCGCCATGTGTGTATGGCCTCTCTGTATGCGCTGGGCAGCGCCCAAACTGGGGGACCTAGTTCACAAGCATTTACCAGAATACATGTCATGCAAAAGCTTGTATCGTAAACTGTCTCGGGCGTCCTGTTTGGTCCACAACGCATTAATCCGGAAATGGCAGTATCTCATCATCCCATGTTGGGGCATATGTACAACCAGCGTCCACCAGCGTCTACATGGAGAATCATACCAAATTTAAGCCTTGAATCCGGTGATTTTACTCTCACCCCAGCGTCCGCAGCAGAACGGGAAATCTGCCCTTACGTTGGGTTGCCCTGGAATCAGCGTCTACATTGGGATTTGCATTTTCTGATGTGTAAATATCCCGCTGATGTGAAATCTTCCCAATGCCAGCGTCCGCAGTAGATGCTGTGTATTCTCACCGAGTGATGTGTGTTAACCCCGGCGCCCAGTAGTTGCGCAGCAGCTGCTCCAGTTGCCTCGTGCAAGCCAATCAATCTCGACAGCCAACAGTGGTGAGTCCACGATACTAGTCAGGGATCCGGTTGTGTGCTCCCACATGCTCGCATGTTTTTGTTAGCGGCTGTCAATGACGCTTAGGATGGGGTTTATCCAGCATTTCAGTAGAGAAAGTGTTTGAGGGTCCTCATGGGAAACATTTCCACGCCATTGCCCCAGGGAGTGGCCCTATCGTGACCAAGAAGATAAATCCTTGAAGCAGTGGACTGCACCACGTGGGGAAATCATGCGTGAGCTGGTCAGCGAAACCGAGCTACGACGGCCGTGTGCCATGCTGCTCCCTGTCTTCACTGCCAAGCCGCTGGGAAAGCATTCCAGGCTGCAGCCTGTCGAAGTTGCCCAGCGTTTCAGATTTTGATAGGGCAACGGAGGCGTTGGCGGTCCGGAAAGTGCCATGGGAGTCGCTGGTTGTACGCATGGTTGCGGCCAACTATTGTTGCAGAGCCTTTTGGGCTTGTTGCTCGCCAACAATGGCGCCAAGTAGGATGATGCACGCAAGTTGCATTCTGCGGCTGCAGCACCTGGGCAACGGCACCTGGAGACATAGGTATACGGCATACTTGCCACCAGAGCGCGGCATGATGAAATACCTCGCATGCAGTAACATGCTCTTTCAATGGAGGCCAGGACCGTCCTCACGAAGAGATGTTCGAATATGTGTTCCGAGCTTGTCAGTAGTTGTGGCAATCGTGCAGGCAAAATGCCTCAGTTCCAATGCCCTCCATCGCCCTTCAACAAACTAGATGTAAGTCGTCAGTCACCGATTTTTTTTCACATCGGAGATGCCAGGTCAAGAAGTGCGCAGACATGGGCATTAACATTGTGCGGTGCTTACGCATGTCTCCAACCATTGCTGCAAATCAGGGCGAGAACCGTCATGTCTGGAGGTGCGCTTGACCGTGCAGGGCATGTGTTGGCCTCGGTCTGCGCCACGCCGCTGTTCTGCCCGGTTGTGAAGCTCTCTGTTTTGGGACAGAACAAGGAGGGAAGCTAAAGCCTGCGAACACATCAAAAAGCGATTGCTAGAAGATGGCCACTCGCCTTGTTGATGCCGAAATGTGCTTCAAACACGGACTTGAATTCTGTGAGCATTGCCAGGATACAAAACCCCTCTTGTGGCAGATATCCACTTCACGCCGAAGGTCGCACTGGTTTGCGCTGACTTTGTTGACAAGGCCACCTTCTGTACTTTGTTCCATACAATTACAGACCCATTATACATTTGCAGAGGTGCGCGTGAACCCTGGCAATTTCGCAGACGGCACGAGCCTGAGAAACGAGAGCAGTATGCAAGAAAAACACCGTAGGATAGGGTCCGAAACTGGAAACCTTCAGGCCGAAAGTCCTTTGACACCATCTCAGAGCTGACCGAGGAGGACGCCGTAACGGAGCCAGAGCCCCTCTCGCATGATTCTCGCATCGCGCATCGCGTTGCCAGGATGTGCAGGAAGCCAAGGACGCCATAGAGGAAGCGCTGACTCCGCTCGCTCAGCTCTCAGAAAGGAACACCCGCGCTGCAGACAATCCTTACCAAACCCATCAGCCCTGCGATGCAAGCATTGGTGATCCTTCGAAACACGACCATGAGATGCACAGCGCCGCAAGCAAAACCTGGGCTGGTGCGGCTAAGCGCTGCATTCGTGGGCATGTCGCCGGGGGTTCGTCCTTTGCATCACGATAGCTACATATCTTGAGCTGGTGCTGCTGCTCGCCTTTGAGCGGCAGACCTGTGTCAAGAATTCCTCCGAGCCATATGCCATGTGCTGGCCTCTCGCATTTCGAATTGTTGAGGTCTTGAAGCTGAAGGAGCAAAACAAATCCATGCGTATCGGTGCGATGCCTGGCATAGTTGCATTGTATTATTGCACCTGTGCTCATTGTGAGCGCTGATACGAATGCCCAAGGTGTGAACCATGGATCTTTGGCTGAGCGCATCCTCTTCCAGTACGGCGATTCGAGCTGTTCTGAGAGCCGATTCCACCAACAAGTGTAGCAACAGTCTCGAAGTGATTTCGATGGCAAACCAAAGGCCGGAAGGCATGGTCGCGTCAGCGATTGAGTTCGGAGAGATCTGCCGCAAGCATGACTTTCACAACTTCATCTTCAGCCGCTTGGACCAAACACTCACGGTCTGTGTGTTTGTGCCGAAATGCCCTCTAGCTGAGGCATGAAGTCGTCAAACCCACAAGTCATGGCAGCGCCCCTACAACTCAGCCTCGGCCCTGTGCTGCCAGCAATCTCAAACGACATTGTAAGGTGAATGCATACAGGCAGTTGGCGCGCGAAATGTACAAGCTCGGATGGGACTGGAACGTGCAAGCTGTGCGCACACGCTGCTTGAAATGATCAATGACCCCGGCATTACAGGAGGTTGCCAGTATTACACGAAATTGTAAGCACATCAGCCTCCTGTGTTCACTCCTCTGCAGAATAAACGGTATGTTGTTCCAAAAAGGAAGAACTCAGAGATTTCCTCTGCTTGCCAGGACTACCCCTTGCACCTTGGTGTCACAGAAGCTGGCGGGGGCTCTGATGGTCTTTGGCTTGATCACCGTACGCCTGACATCGCACAACTCAACCTGTCATGCAAGTCTAGGCCGTATCAAGTCCGCAGTCGGGATTGGAGCTCTGCTGTTGGACGGCCTTGGAGCAGGGCTCAGCCTTGACACAATTCAAAATATCCAAATCGGCCCAGCGTTGTGCAGAGTTTCGCAGTTCAGGTGATACCATTCGTGTTTCTCTCACAGAGGACCCGGAGTTTGAGGCAAAACCTTGCATCGCTCTGCGAGGCCAGACCTTTGATCCAGGTTTCCTGCATCGGACCTCTCTTCTCACCAAACTTTTGCCTCGTCGGTTCCACCTGCGCCATTTTTGAAGGGGTGGTGCTGACTTTCGTCAGCAGCTCTTTAATGAATAACAGTTTGCCACAGCCAGACATCTGTGCCTGCGACCCTTCACGACAGTTTCGTGACCCTGTTGCCTTCTATGTAGTTGTATTTCTTGTTTCATGGGGCTAGGTGACGCAGACTCGTTTTGTTGGAATTTCGAGGCCTATGCTGATGCATACTGAGAAGCTCTGCTCGTACGGCTTAGAAAATTGAGAGAAGCATGTACTGATTTGGGAGTGGGTTCGCTATGTGAGATGAAGAGCTGTGCAACGAATGGATGGTTGCTGTTTGAGAGTATCAATTTCTGAAGGCCTAGGTCTCAACCGCGACAGCTCAGGATTTTTGTCAAGCAAAGGACGTGACCAGACGATGATGCAATTTGAAACTGCGAGGTCCCACCCCCCCAAGGTCGGAATATGCCTGGTTTCTAGCTTTTCTTCTGCAAGAGCCTTTGTTTCAGCACCATTTGCCATTCATGTGTAGAGTTTGGCAGGCTTGGGTGCACATGTTTCGTGAAGCACGAAACTCCTTGCTGCTATTTTGAATCAAGCTTGGCGATGAGCCAAAATTCGAGGCAAGGAGCGGCAGCCCGCATCACTGGCCACCAGTGCGGACAGCATCTTGTGTTCAGACGAAATGTGCCAGGTGTGACTTGTCTGTTCCCTTTGATTGGAACATGGTGCAAGAGAGGAGTTGTGCCTAGTGCAGCTGCCAGCTCGGTTCAAGCATGGAGAAAGCTTGAGCGGAGCAATGCGAATTTTGACATTTGCAAGGTGCAGCGGCTGATCCGGTTTGCAGGCAGAAGATATCTTCCCTGAACACGTCCATCGGCTCATCTTTTCCTTGGAGGAATCCAGGGAGGTTGCTATGCCAAGGTGTAAAGTCTGTGGCGAGCGATCTGGATTTGGCAAGGCGTTAGAAGGATCCCGGCGCACCGCCCGTTGCCAAATGGAGGAAGCCAGGGTCGACCCTGTGGCAAGGATGGGGGCGAAGCCTTTCTCAAGCAGGCCTTGACAGACTATATCAGCGTGCCTGCTGCAGTATTCGTTCACCATTCTGCCTTGTGCCTGCTGCCATGAGCGTGCCGCGTTGCGCTGCGTTGCATGCCAATGTAGCTCTATGCGACCCGCCCAGCAGCGCAAGGCTCCAGAGCCAGGCACTTGGTGGTCGCTGCGCTATGAACAGGCAGGCTGGGAGTCAGAATCTCTTCGAAAGAGGTTTCACTGCCGAGCACTGCGCCCAGTGGGGGGCAGCTGTTGGGTTGGAGGCTGACGAGGACTCTGTTTGGGTCTTTGCTGAGCCAAGGATGCACAGCAGCATGCTATTGTCCACCAAAGCCAGGCGCCAGCTCGGTCCATGCAAGCCCTGTAATAGCACGGTCTTGGATGGAGTCTGCCTGTCTTTGCCAAGCCGGTGGGACAGGCTATTGTGCTCAAACCTCCTGTGCTGGTGCATTTGAGTCCAAGGTGGAAGCCATGCACCGTCTTGGTGGCTTCCGGTGGACAGCAGCCTGGGACAATGGTTCGTGGCGGCAGATGTCCTGAGATATGCTCGCCGGTTCTGGAGTGAGATGCTCAGAGTGATTGGGTCGACAGCTTGTTGCTGCCGCAAGGGAAAGCAAAAACGCCTTCGTCGAGGCTTTTATGTTGCCAGTCCGTCAACCTTTTGCTGAGTGGACTGGGCGGAAGCGTGGCAGAACCTTTACAATGGACCCTTGCGAACAAGATCCTCGGGGCACTCCCTGTTCGCGCAGGGAGGGCGCGATGCGGAACTTCCAGACTTTCACGAATAGCCGACGTTTCTCGGGGGGAAAGCTGTCAGCTTTGCAGCTTTGCAGCTGACGCCGCGGATAACAGCATATGCCCTGATAAGACCTTCAGAGTGAAAATGTCCAGTCAGCCGAAGTACACTTGTCGCTTTGCGTTGCAAGTGACATGGGCGTGTCTATAGTGTAGACAGTCGGCGTTCAGCGCTTGTGATGTTGTGCCTCGGAGGCCGCGAAACACGCCAGTCGGTGTCAACGTAATGTGGTGCCCAGGGGCTGTTCGTGGACATAGTTGCGCCTGGGTGGCGATGCCTAGATTCAAACCGCTCGACTAAGGCGAGCTTGGACCATAACCAGGAGACGTTACTCCCAGATTCCCAGATTGAGTAGGGCCGTCCCAAAGTAGAGGTTTCCTGCTGATGTTCATCCCTCTGACGCAGTGGTGCCCAGCATTAGTGGGGAGATGAGCATGCGTGTGCGACGTCTGGAAGGTCAGGTCGCTTCACTTCCAGCTGGGCTCACCGCAGAAGGAATGCAGGCTTGCAGACGGATTGGGCGCCGAAGTGGCAGAGGTGAAGGCATTGTGGGTCAACGACCTTGACACGTTTACCTCCGCGAGTTGCGTGCCTTCATGTTTGCGTATTCTTTGCCAGAGAGCAACCAGCCTTGCCTGGCGTAGCGGACGCGTCGAAAGAACTAGCCTAGGAGCTTGATGAGCGTGCAGTTGCCGGTGGTCAATGGAAGGCCGCAGTCAAGCAGACGCGCGACGCGCCTATGTGGAGGCTTCCAAAAGGGCATCTGCAAAGCGAAAGGGGCAGTGTAGCAATTGTGCCCGCGAACTTGTGGTCATCTTGAGAGGTGAGAGACACGCTGAGGCGGATTTCCAGTTGCTGCAAAGCCAAGTGACGTTGCCAGGGCCTGATCTGCCCTAAAACAGCCCTCTAACAGCGGAACTGGATCGCGGTGAGCAACCGCAGGGCTCTGTGCGAGGCAGAGGCGCCTTAAAGGAGAGAAAACCCCCGAGAGCGTGTGGATTTACATGGAGTGAAGAGATTGTAGACTAGCCAGATCTCCGGTGCCATGGGATGTGCAAGAGGCGTGAAGGTTGGTTGGATATTGATCCAGCAGCCCTCTGCTGCTTGGCTATGGCCCCTCGTTTAGTTGGGTATGAGACCAAATGAGCTTTGCTTTATACCAGGCCAGAATTGCGCCGCAGAAGAGTGGTTGTCAAAGAGGAACTTGTGGCGTGATCTCGACGAGCTCCTGAGAGTAAAGCCTTCGTTTGTGCTCCGAGCTCGGAGGCTCATGGGACTTAGTAGCCATTCATAACTGGGATTATAGCCCGACTTAAACCCCCCTGAATGGGCTTATAGGGGTTGGCCCAATTGGAAGTAGGGTTACGCGCTCAATTATGAGTAGTCGCGAGTCCCATGGGCCTCCAGGAGGTCATTGTGAGGCCGATGTTTTAGCCGGGCCTGTCTTTAAGAAAGGTAGGGATGGGGCCCTGCTTAAGAAGAACAATAAGCGAGCCAAGCAGTCAGCTGCAGCGTCGGCGCAGCGCGTTGTGATCGGAGACGCCAGAAGCAGTAGGCGAGTTCATCCCATATCTGACTCAGGAGGCAGTGGCCAGCGCGTATAGTCACTCACTCCAAGCCACTTCTTCACGACTTTTGCCCGCCGCTCATGCCATTCATCGAGGCTTCAAGATGCAGAGGCAGGATTCGCCATAGCTACTGAGAGGCGCAAGGCGGGACCCCATCCTCCTGATTCCCAGATGCATGATTGCTCAATCTTCGGGAAGCGGCGGGTCATCGGCAATGCAGACCAGGGAGGCCAGACAGCTTTTTTAGCGATGCTGCGCCCACAGATTGGTGCTTGGCAGCGATCTGTGCGGAGAGGATTGGCCGGGCGGATGACGCTGCAAGAGCTATGTTGCATCAATACCCCGTGGCGCCAGGGCTGGGGGAATCGGCTTACCACATTCACGTGGACTTCCGTTTGGGCTCCCGCCGGCGGTTACCAGCTTCAAACGAATTTAGCAAGTTGCTTGGGGCACCGCTCGCGCCCGACAACCGCCAACCTATGCGTGTGTCGGGTGCAATTCTCGGCCTCGGCTTTGACTTCAGCAGCCCGGCGGTAGCGTTCTGGGCGCACGCAAGCAGTCAGTGTGGCGCCCTGGATTGCCAAGAGCAAAGAATATATGACACATTAGTACAAGTAGGTTGCAGACCTTGAGAAGCTCAAGCGGCACAGGAAGTCAAAGGAGCCCACCGCGGACTTGCTGTCTTGCTTTTGAAGTGATTCGCCTGGTTCTTGCTTTATGACGTCGGCGGTTCGTTGAGGTTACGCTCCTGGGCATGGCACGGGCGAATTCCTGCCAGTTTGGGGCCGTGACGCCGGCGACAGGGAAACATTTGTCGCCAGCATTGATGCGTATGTCTACCCCTTGTTCACCCAACGTGACATTGAGATTGCCCAGTTGGAGCTCTCTACTATGGTCCTTTGGGTGCTTCGCTCACGTGCTCACTCCGTCTGTGGTGTCTGAAGTTTTGCCTTATTGACAACTTGGCAGCGCTCATGGCAGTGATCCGAGGGCGCTCAGACTTTCCGGACCCCGAAAAGTTTGCAAGTCTTATTCGAGCAGCTTTACGGGCCCCCGCATATATGCGTGTTACAGTCACACGACAGCCTCTCGAGCTTTGTGTGTGAGCCCCTTCGCGGCGAGAAAAGTAATTCGCTTGATTATTCATGGAGTTGTGACAAGCTTGGTTCTTTCGAGAGCGGGTGCTGTTCAACAGTAGGGGGTCGGATGCCATGAGTCGGGTTGAGCGGCAGATCCCTGGTTCAGAGGCTTTCCAGTCCTCAGAGGAGACTACCGCTGGGTGTGGTTACCGCAGTGGTTAAGTTCTGGTGAGTGCTTTGGGATAAGAATCGCATCGGGCATCGGGAAGGGATCAGTCAGTCTTCATGTAGTCGCACCTGAGGAATGTGTTGTTACGAGGCATGAGGGAGACATGCAGTGTATATTTTTCTGAACGCAAATTTTGCGTAAGATCCAGGTTTCAACTCACTGACAATGAGGACTGCTTAAAACTGTCAGCCGCGCTGCAGCGCGAAAACTTGCGTGCTGTGCTCCGCCGCCTCCCTCCTGAAGCGGGTCCTCCAAGGACTTTCACTGAGCCTTGAGGCTTTTCCCGTCCTCGTCCATGCTGCCTCCCTCGCCCCTGCCTCTCCTGCCGGCCTTCGCTTGGGTCAGTGCCCGCGCCTACCTGTTCTACCGGCCTCGCCTTGGGTCAGTCAAGCTACCTCCTCTGTACAGGTGCTGCAGCTCGCTAACCTAGAGCCACCGTGGCACTACTGTACTCTAGTAAAGGTTTCTGGGCGTGGTGATCCGCCTGTGATGCGTCTGGGTCCGGATCCTTTTTCAGATTATTCATATGATGGATTGCGACAGCCGCGCGAAAGGAAACATTTGCGAGGGCGCATGTAATGGTTTAGAGAGAAGAGCAGTGCTGAATGATGTATAACTATACATTCCAATCCTTTGGGATGAGGGGGCTCCGTTCTTGCTTGAAAGCTGTATTTACATTCGAGCTTGTTCCACAGAAACATTTGCTCCCGAAAGCAGTGCAAGGCAGCTAGTTCACTGAACGCGCCAGCCAACCAGGCAACACGCAAGACAATTTCCAAGCCAAAATTGTGTTTGAAGATACATGCCCGGAGCTTTGGAAGTGTAGTGAAGCAGCATCAGCTTGCGCATATCTCCACTAACATCTTCTTCTGAGCCTGCTACTGCTTAATTGTGACAAGCGTCTCAACGCGGCTGCGATGTTCTGCCTCTGGCAGGTGTTGCAGAGGGTGCTTTGGGGAAGGCTGGGTTTCTCCTGAACCGTTTCATGAGTTGGGACGAGTCTTGGGAGTTCGCGCTTCAAAATAGCATGTCCTGGAAGCTTCTGCTGGCCAGGGCGTTACAGCTTTCGAAGAGCATAGCGAAAGGAGGAACGGCCAATTCTCTCGACGAAAGTGGGCAGCTAAAACCAAGTGTGCCCATCACGTCGACCGACCCCTGTTGCTGCCGTGCATAGTGTGCTGATCGTTGCTCAGGTGCGAGTATCCCATTGATGTGCCTCTGAACCAGGATGGTTCGGTGCTTGCACGCATGTCAGTCGGCAAGCCCAGGGCCACCCAGCCAAGCATAGTCAGCAAGATACGCGCGCTGCCCAGGTAAAGGAGCTCAAAGACCTTGACACTGCGGGGCTTTGCGATCGGCTTGGCTTGAGGCCGTGCTCTCAAAGTGAGAGCGCACCTGACAAGTGCCACATGGCGGCTCTGGGAACTTTACTGAGACTACGCGCCGATGGTGATGTGCAGAAGGACTGGAAGAGCGTAGATGCTGTGGCTCCATTCTCAAGGCTGCTGGGTGTTGGTGTTATATCCACTGCCCGCGCTGCTCAGGTGATTGATGGCATGCTGCCACCCGGCGCGGGCGTGAAGCTGAAGACCCTCTTGGATGTACCCACAGGCTTGGAGCATGCCTCAGCAACAGGAAGTGGAAGTTGTGTATGCCAGGTGTTCTTTGCAAAGCTGGCCCAAATGTTCCTGAAGGCGCATCCGTCTCAGGCCTTCCGGACAAATTTGGAATTGAAGATGCGAGACCGATGCCTCGACATGGCTAAGGCAACTGTGCTGATGACTGCAGAAGCTGTAGCTGAAGGCAAGGCTGCGTGAAATACGTTTCCGGAAGTATGATCGCGCCCACAAGCCATCCCAAACCTATCAGACAGCAGGCGAGTCACTGCCAGTGTCCAAGCTTCAAGCACACATTAACACTCAGCTACTTTGAGTAACAAGCTGCTCAGCTAAGGCCAGAGAGACTTGGCGGCTATGCCGTGGTCTTCAGTGGAGAGGAATCTCAGGACACCTGGCCTCAATTCCAACCTTTGCTTTGTATCGCAAGATGCCACAGCTCCGCGTTGCAGGTGTGGCAGGGAGGGGAGGCTAAGACTTCCTTTGGGTTCATTAAAGCGGCTGCATGCTGGTACCCCAAGGACTCGTACCATTGATTACAAAAGCTGGTTCATTTGATGACTGTCTCTTGCAACCTTTGTTTCAAAGTCTTGCCCTGCTTAAGCTGCGTGAAGGGACTAATGCGCGCACGACTGAGCTCAGCAAATTCAGCCTACCTTTTTTGAGTTGTGGTCTTGCTGAGCCAGGCGCCGTAGCAGAAGTGTTTTTGAGAGGTGGACAGGGTGACCCTGTTACGAACGCTGAACGCTGCCGCCAGATTCTAGCGTCACAATTTCAGAACAAGCATCGACTTTCCGTCATAGAGTCGTCGTCTTTGCAGATGGTAACACTTGAAGGGTAGCGCTGATCTCGCAACAGGTTGGGGAACATCTAAAAGCGTTTGCAGCTGATTGCTGCATGTTTGCCATTCCAGTTCTTCTGGACCACTGCCTCTGGCCTGCCATCTGTGTCAGGATTCCATGAAGGATGTGCTTGACAAAGCATCGCGAGCTTCTCAGGATTGGACAACCTCCGTCAAGGGTTTTGCGGATGCAGCCTGCTGACCCGCTCGACCCGTTACTTACAAAGGCCGCGTTTCATCCTGCTAAAGCCCATCACTCGGGATGCAAGGACAGACAGGTTGTTGCCTGAAAGCTACACATGAGATTCGCAACAGTCTGAGAACTTCTCAACTTCTTACCAGGACTTTCATTGCCAGAAGGCTCGCTGTGGGGTTGTTCCCCACCCTCGCTGTGGGG